AGTCAAAATTCTTCTTTTATGTTGGGCAAAGCTTATTTTGGCTTTTACATATCTGACCACTGTTCTTGTGATTTTCAATGTGCACTTATTACCTCTCAGATTTATGATGCAGCAGTACGAGGCCTCCGTCAAGTTGAAGGACCTCAACCGGTGAAGTTTCCATTTCCAGACCCACATAATCTGTCATCGCTAAGGCCAGGAGCACTTACCTCGAAATTCACTGTATCCAGAATTTCTGCAGTAGCGAAACCACCGAGAGTTGATGCAACTATTGCGGGTGCACGAGCTGCGGCAACTCAATTTTCAAAGGAGGACACGGTGAACCTCTCATTTAATCACCAAATTAACCAAATTGATACTATTCAAAGAGATGACTCGGTGGGAACCAGTCATAATGTTTCTGCAGCAGGAACTAGAACAGTGTTTCACATACCAAATAGCCAAGCATATTAGAATGATTATGGTTTAAACCATGTAATGTAGATCAACAAATTTCTCCGAAAAGTGGAGGAAGTGCCAGGAGGAATGCAGCTTCTGGTAGACAGTCTGCAGCCAGGAGTAAAGCATGAACAACTACTATGATTTCTTTATCTTCATCAGAAGATTTGCTTCAATTCGACCCTCGACAATCTACGAAACCATGGTGAAGCATCCCTTTGTCCAAGGGAAGGCTAACATTCTTATTAGTAAGCTTCCATCAATTCATAGGGTTGCCTGGATAATGGTATTAATTGACGCTGTAGCAGAAGAGAAGTCTGTGTTTATTTAGCCTAAATTTTTTTTGATGAGGTAATTATTTATAAATCTCCAATAAGGACGAAACTGGTAGTTTTTTAAAAAAGTAATGAGATTAATCTTCTTAACCCCTCTTCATTTGCCAAACACAAAAGACTTAACCCCTTGTTTTAACTATCGTATCCAAACAGGTTTAGAATTTTTTTAACCCTTCACGATGGATTAATTAAGTTAACCCTTTTCTTTAATCCCTCCTGCTTAACCCCTTGCCAAACGGGGCCTAAAGGCTTAATACTGGTCCTAAAAAAACAAAACCCACCCAAAAAAATAAAATAAAAAAAATAAAAATAGAAAAAGGTTTGGGCGGTTATGAAAACCCTTTTTAACTTTCAAAACATTAGAAAACACCTCTTAAATTTAAGGATTATCAAAAAACCTCCTTTAACTTTAAGGTTTTAAACAAAACCTCCTAAAACAGTTATCCGTTGTTACTCCAAATTGTTGAGTGGACAAATATACCTCTGCATGGATTTTTGGTGGGAGAGCTTTTTAGCAAGAAATTAGATAAATGTGCTAAACTAATTTTTTAATATTTTTTAATCACGTCGATGTGTAATACCTACTTGAGGGTATTTTTGTCCACAAAAAATTTAAGACAATGAGGGATACTGCCGTTAGTTGGGTTTTATGATAAAACCTTAAAATTAAAGGGGGTTTTCTGATAACCCATAAAAGTTAGGGGAGTTTCTGATATTTTGAAAGTTAAGAGGGGTTTTCTAATAATCTTCCAAAGTTAAGGGGGTGATTTATGATATTAAGCCTCATTCAAAACAAGCAATAAATTAAGGCGAGTGCACTGAATACGTAACCTTAAATTTTTTTTTTCAAAGCCAATGTGACGTAAATTGCCTAATGGAGAGCTTATCCAAATCTTACAAGCGTGTATTAGATTAGTCAAGGATTCGGTGAAAGGTGGAGTTAGGTTCGCTCTACTTTTATCCTTTACCTTTAGATAAAGAAGCCAGACATGAGCAATGCTAATTGAATATGAATTACAGTACCACTTCAGAGATCAACACGTGCCGGCACAAAAAGAACAAAACCATGATAATTAATTCGGATTCGTTCGGAAAGCTTATCTGTTCCACCTGCCAGTTTACAATCTTACACCTGGCTCCTAGTTCTTCAGTTCACAGTATATATACAGGTCTAGATCACACACCAACGCTTATCTGTTCTCACACACACGCACAAACTTACAACGATAAATCATATCGTCTAGATCACACACCAACGCTTATCTGTTCTCACACACACGCACAAACTTACAACGATAAATCATATCATACAGGTCTAGATCACACACCAACGCTTATCTGTTCTCACACACACGCACAAACTTACAACGATAAATCATATC